GCAGTGAATCGACACAATAAGAGAAACACAAATACATAACAACTCTATAATAAAACCATAATATTAGACAAGAACTTAAGGAAAGAGCTGTTCAAACAAAAATGCGAGCGAATGTGTTGTTTGTATTATATGAATGTAATTGTGTCGATGTTTTGTGAAAAATACAATTCAAAAACCATCGAAAGTGATAATCATTTTTAAATAACTTAACTATCACTTAATGGTTATGTATTTGAAGGGCTGTACCCCTGAATAAAGTGCTGGCAAACAGTGTATACCTGCAGAAAGAAGAGATAACACATTCCCAAAGCGCTCTATTTCTGGTCTTATCTCCAATGAGTTGCCAAGAGATGACATAATCGAAAACGAGGTCTAATTACACGGGAAATTATATTTGTTAAAACACACGTTCTCTACACATATATTATATACAATGTTTTATCGTTTATATTGTTGTCAAACAAACATATAACAAGTTAATTAATTAAGTCCGAAAAACTTTTCTCGTTTAACACATTATCGCATTACACCTTTTGGATGAAAATTGTTGGCAACTATTTATTATAATGTTAAGACCAGTGAAGTCCAGTTTCTCGTATCTCATCAATTGTGTTATATTTAAAATAATTGCTGTTTATATGAATGGTATTGTGTTCTGTGATACTAACCAAACCCGCTATGAGTTTATGGCTAATCAATTGTTCGGCAATTCCTCTGCAGTGGATATCAAGCAATTCACATATGAATTCAATTTTAGTAAAACAGGTTTGTATTCATTAAGTCTAATATGAAATTTAATTAACACCATATTCTGTTTAAATTTATACATAAAATTATATATTTATTGTAAAACAGTAAACATTTGCGATACAATTGATTGCAATACAAACAATGCATTTTGTGAACTCAATCAATGTTTAGGAATGAGTGAGTTTTGATAAGAATTTGTTTTATAAATGTATCTTATATTATGTGAAAATCTATCATATGTTAAGAGACAATCGGTAACGTACACTATGCCATCACATGCATTATAGTGGCCGGAGTTGTCGTACTACTGATGGCCACAGTATACGCCTGTCATAAGGATCTTATATTATGTGAAAATCTATCATATGTTAAGAGACAATCGGTAACGTACACTATGCCATCACATGCATTATAGTGGCCGGAGTTGTCGTACTACTGATGGCCACAGTATACGCCTGTCATAAGGAAAACAAGAGATCGTAAGAGAATTGTTAACTTAATTTAAGGCAATTATTTGATAAATTGCTACTTATTTAAGAATCCGGTGGAGAAATGCACACAACAGGTGTCAACAAGAGAGGGAACAAATGATCACATTAAGAATCTTGCAGTCATTGTCACAAAACAGGACTCATAGCCGATATTATCCCGATATTGTTCCCTTACGAACTCTCAACGACCCGCCACCTCCTTATCAGCCCCACTATACACCCCCACCAGCCTATCGGGAGACATACCAACCCACCACTTACATCCCAACACCCAAATAAACTTATTCGTGTCCATATGTGGGATCAAAGCGTGTATCCAATAGTCAAATAATATTTTAAACATTCATTTTTAAAAATATCAATCATTTATAAACTCATTGAAAATAAAATTTCAGAAACATATCCATAAGAAAATAAAAATCATAACCTATACAAATATAAACAGTTTATATAAAAATATGCAAACAATAACTAATCCCATTCGGTGGCAGCGCTGGAGGGGGCGGCAGAAGTGGTACCGCTATCACCCCATTCAGTGGTTGAAGAAGTGGATGTGTCACCAAACGAGTCGTTGCCTCTA